CATGTTTCAAAATCCAAGGCTCAGTTAAGTACACTGGCTCTAATTAATCTTTTTAACGGCTACATCGAAGGTCATGGTGTCGACACATCAAACGAAGCTCATCTGGAGTCAAGATATCCTCCGTTTAATCTGTATTACAGCATTATTTTAAACCCCCCACCTCGAATGCGTCTGCCTGTAAAAGTCGCCTCCCGCACAGGCGGCAAGAGAACCATGGGCTTGGGTAGAGTGGCATTGTCCCATATATTGAGGAGGGTTTTGTCCTTTCTTATCTGCCTTCTCCTTTCCCTGGCTTTGGCTCCATCTTGCCCCTTTTTGCTCCAAATAGGGCGGCTCCCAAAACGTCGGGGGCGTTTCGACTTTTGTTTTGGCGTGCTGGGCAATCCCGAGTCAGCAACGGAGACGCAGCATTCCGAATGTCGGATTGGTGAAACAAGAAACGCGGCTGGCCATCAAAAGAGTGTACTTTTCTGCTGTTTCGGTCCTTTTTTTTTTTTTTTTTTTTCCTTCTTAAAGTTTCGGTCTCATTCATCGTCGTGACATGTCTTCTGTTATCGTCCTTTTATTTTATCTCGCCTACAAAGCATTTCTTGGCCTTGCTTGCTGTTTTGTTGTCCTTCCTACCTCCCTGGTGCGACGAAACAATATCGACGGCCATGCATTGCTCATATGTTTATGTGTTAAACCGAAAGGGCTGTGTCGTTATTCCGATTTACAAGTTTGAGTTTTAGCCTCTTGTGTGTTTAGTCTTGCTGTTGTTCTCGTTCTTGATGTTCTCTTGTTCCTATCTTTAATTCCCTTCATCTTTCCGCTCGTTTTGCTGTTACATTCGTCCAGCAACGGCAGGGGATTGTGGCTCGTTTGACGGACTGTTTTCTTGGCATTGTCACAGGAGTGGTACAGACAGAAATCAAATGACAGAAGGACAAACCTGAGCTGAAACATGACGCAGTTGGACAGAGTACAAAGTACGCACCCAACTTTTGTGTAGAAAATGGTGAAAATGGAGGTTGTCCGACAATGCACCACACCCACAATCACATTTCATGAGGTTCTGGGTCCTATGTCCGGTTTGTTCTAACAGCCCGCTCGCACAGAAGAGAATACAGGCTTGACAATAAATGATTTGAATTAAGGTTTGCGTTTATGGCGAGAACGGTTCATTGGTATCTTGTTTTTGCTATGCCTGCCCTCGACTGAGGCCAGTGCGTCTGCGTACCTGCATCTGGTTGCACTGGGTCCACTGGACTTGTCAAAGAGGGAAGGGCTTGTTGCGTCTTTCGAGAAAAAAGCCCTCCAATCGACGTTGCGCTAGAGCCGCAGCGAGTTTCAAAGGATTGGACCGACGATGCTGCAGCCCACATACGACGCAACTGATCGAAACGGTAGTGCTCCTGTGAGTCTTAAGTGTTTATTTTGACTCTATTTTAGAAACAAAAAAGCGGCTCGCCTCTGTTTTTGTTTTCTGGCTTGAGAACATACTGTGTATGTTGTATCATATTCCTCTGGTCTGTTTTAAATTGACGAAATGCAACCCGACGTGGATACTTTGGCCAAATAAAAAAAAGTAAAGGCGATAACTCAGAAGTTGTATTGTGAATCACTCAGATCTCATTGATAAATACACTCCGTACTTTCATGCCACCGGATAGTTAGTAGTAACTCTCTGTTCGCCACATGGACCACCTTTTACAACTCTCTCAAGTATGAGCGAAAACGAACATGATGGTTTACCAAGAGGCAGGTCCACATCATGCCAAACAGACGGCAACGAGATACAAGAGCAGGGTCAAAATTGACAAAGTACAAGGGCAGACAGCGGAATCCGGTGGCTCGAGAACAGAAGATGGTCGTTTCGTAAATAAAAATACAGAAAAGAAAAGTTTGAAAACGCAAAACCGGAGTAATCACACTCTCAGGCATTTTGAGTTCAATGTTCAGTAGGCTATTTTGACGGCTACTGCGCATTACGGTGCTGAAAACTACAGTGAACTACTAAGCAATGTGCCGCACGGAGGGCTCGTAAACGGCGCCTTCTGTATAAGGGGAAGGAGGCTTTGCATAAGTGTTGGCCCTGGCTGTGGGTGGAGCCATGAGACCACTTTCCACCAATCACACAACAAAGAAGAAGACATGCTCAGTGTTGTAACAGCGTCCCCGCAACGTCAACGTCGAAACCCTTTGTCAAACACGCAGACACAGACCCCTTCTTGACAATAAAGAGGGGCCTGCAATGCATAACAGGGAGTTTTGGCCTAGCTAGCTGAGAGGTGGACCGCTGATGGTAGGATACAATACGTCACGTAACAATCCCCCCAAAAATCCTTCTCGTCACGGTGTCACTTTGTGACTCTACAATTTTGTGCATCGTAGCCTCTCCAAGTTGTATTTATTTTATTCTGCTATGTGGAGAGAGACATAGGCAAAATAGCTAGCAGTGATAGGCAAGACGAGGAGCACAGGGAATGGCAAGTTCCGTTGCGGGACGCAAGACTTCAAATAGAGTCCATATGGCTGTTGTGGAAGTGAATGACCACATGTAGACTCGATTAACGACAGGTTGACCAGGTAGACAGGTTGACCAGGTATGGCTTTGTACGAGCAAGTTTGAACATAGAGACAAAATCGGGCTGACCACATCCGAGCGTCCTTTAATTTCGGTGTACAGTTTCTACTAGCACATCAAGAACATCGTCGAGAGCATCGCCGCGACCAAGGACAAAGGCACTCTTACTCGACAATCATATTGGCGAAAGGACGAGGGGAAAAGATTGAGACAAACAAAGAAAACTGGTACCAAGGGAAAAGAGGGAAAGGAAAACAATGTCCCGCATCAACAAACCAGACGAAAACAAATGCATTAACCGACCAAGAAGCAAAGAAATGGATAACTATTCGTGTTCTTGCTTGTCCCTTCGCTTTCTTGTCCTTCTTCACAACTCCCCGCTCCCCACTTTCCTCACCCTTCTCACGGCATGATTTCATCAAGGCTCCCGTGGTGCTCCAAGCGATGTGTCGAACCGGGCAAAAATGCCAGGGACCAGGGTCTGAGGGGGAGATACTGCTGTGATCCGCGCACGTCCATGACGGTGCATTTCGTACGCAAAGGTTAGGCGGGCTATCTTGAAGAACGGCTGATTCTGCATTTTTGTTCCTGTTGACGTGTACTGGAAGTCACGGATATTCTTGGGATGTGCCAACTGTTTTGCAAGAGGATTCGAGATCCGCACTGGTGTGTTCTGGCCAATTTGCTTGCCTCTACGGGCATCATTTGACTTGATTCTTCCACAAACCCCCCAGCGTCTTTGATTTTCATATTTCCACATCCTGGTTTTGTCTCCACGTACGATAGTAGTTTGTCCATCCGACCACATAAGAGAGGCCAGTTTTGTCACATCGAACCTCAAAACAATGGAAATCTACCTCCCCGCCAAGTTCCATCACCTTCTACATTACGCCCCTGTCTTGTCTGGACCAGGAACGACTCAGCTGGCCTAATCTGGCCGGCAGTCGAAGTCGAGGCGGCCCACCGGGCTGATTGGTAAACTGAATCGTTTTATGTGTTTGCCATGGAACAGGCCAATACATGGTGTAGACGTTTTGGAAACAGAAGGCGATGTAGGGGTGAGAAAGGAAAGAGCGCGAAGTAAAATACATCCATAGCGCCAGGTTATAAGCTAAAACGAAGGAATCCAATGCCAAAGAAAGTGTCAAGAAGTACAAATGGTAAAATTATCAGCTCAGCGGACATGAAAGTGTAGAATACTAGCATTGCAGAGTAACAGAACGGAAAGATAGAAAGAATAATAACATGTCGTACGATATGCACCCACTCACTAAATCATGATGCCTCTGTTTTGGATGTCTCCGTTTCGGCCTTGTACTTTGCCCCTGGCACTGTCAGCACCACAAAAGCCCAAACCACCAAAATGGTCACCAAACCGCGTCAAACGGCGCCAAACCACCCCCTCGCACTTCTCCTCCCCCGTATCCGTCCCAAGTGGCTGCCGCTTTGGCTGAACATCATGCACGCCGTATAGTTTGGGATGGGGTTGGATCGATTCTTTTATTCCTCAACCTACATTATTGTTTTATTCTCCTTTCATTTTGCGCATTGCTCTGCCGGCCACCCCCTGCCTTACTGTGACCCTGGCCTGTTTCTTTGTTCTCGTTCCTGTTCCTGCTGGTTTGGCCTGGCCTGGCCTGGTCTTGCATACCTTGGTGTACTCTCCTTGTGAGCTTCAGTGGATCGAAGACGGTCGTCCTCTTTGTTTGGTTTATTACTTGAGCCCCCCCAGCACGTTGCCTTCCTGTTGTTCCTCTTTTCTCCCTTCCTCTTTCCTTTCTTTTTTTCTCTTCCCTCTTTCCCTTGAGGATTAAGAGAGTATTTCTTCCTTTTGTTCTTTTTTGATCACGGCGCTCTTGCGTGTGTTCTGACGTTCTTTCTTCTTTCACTTCACTTCTTCTAACCCTCCTTTTTAACAACAGCAGCTGGCCTTTTTTCATGTCACTCACCCTCGTTTATTTTTTTTTTTTTTAAACTTTTGACATTCCCTTCTCACCGTCCAACTGGTTTGGCTGCCTTCCACTCTTTTGAAAAGACACAAGAAACACTTCCTTTCATTTTACAGCATTTTCTCCTCCCCATTTTTGTGTGTGTGACCTGGTTATTACTTCTCGACTTCTCGACTTCTCGACTGTTCCATTTCTCGGGATATTTTACATCGTCTAAACGCGAACCTTTTCGTTTCTTTCGTACGACCGTACTCATCCACCCGCCGAGATTCACCTGCCTCGATCAGTGACCGGCTCGCTTAACCCATATCTGGACTATCTCGACTCTCTGCATTTCTTCTCGCCACTTCTTGCTCCCGCGTTTCGTCTCATCTCTCAATATTTTTTTTGTCGCTTTTCACCTCGCCTCCTTGATATTGTTACTTGGTCGATTTGCTTCACACCAAGACAAATATCTCATAAATATCACCGCTATTATCACCAGGATGTCTCCGACTCTGCAAATGGCCTCGCCGGCCACGTACACGCCGACGTCTGATGCAATGGACCGACATGAGTACGGCATCTCCAAGAACCGCAAGCCGGCGTCGACTGGAGGTGGCCGGGCCTGGAGTGATGATGAAGTGCGTTTTTTATATTGTACCATTTGATTGAGTCCATTGATTTTAAACCAGCCTCTGCTAACGACCCACAGGAAGTCTATCTACTCCAGACACGTCTTCAGAAGATGCCATACAAGCACATTGCGGCACATCTCAAGAAAACGGAGCTCGCGTGCCGGCTCCATTACCATCAGCTGAGCCACGGCAGCAACCGTCGCAAGCGCACGACGAGTGTCTCGTCGGGATCATCGACGGGTGGCCACTCGCCGATCCTGGCGGCGTCCATGCCCTCGCCGATACACGAACACGGCGGCCATGGCCATGGACAGAGCTCGCCCACTCCGTCGCCGCCGGGAAGCTCCGGCAGTTTTGGCCACGGCCATGGCCATAACAACGGTCTTGGCCACGCGCATCACCATGGCATACACAGCCACCACAATTCTCACGGCATGCCCCACGGCCACGGCCACAACCACAGCCATGGCCATTGCATCCACCTGCCGAGCATCAACACCGACATTAGCAATACCCACAACAATATCAGCAACAGCAGCAGCACCCACAACACGTCGTCGCCCCGGCTGCCCACGATCCTGCCTAAGCCTGTGTCTATGAACCTGGCTCTGGCGACGGGTGCTGGGTCGACGTCGTCTTCGAGCCGCAACGGTTCGTACATGGGCGATGCTTCGACAGCGCCGCCGCACAGCGCACCTCTTTTGCCGGCAGCCACGTTCTCGACCCGCACACCGACCAGTGCCACCACGCCCCGGCCCGGCGCCAACTCGAAGGACAGCAGAGAAGGGATGCCCAACCTGCGCCTCGACTGCAGCGGACTGCCGCCGCTGCCACTGTCGTCGACGGGGCCCCACCACCCGGTCGACATGGCCCGACTGCACGCCGTGTACGCGGGCCATCGGACGTCGTTCTGGTCGACGATTGCGGGCGAGTACGGCCGCGGATCCAACCCACTCGTGCTGGAGCAGGCGTGGCGTACCGGTGGCGGCGGTCTTCCGAGTTTGTCGACGTCGTCTTCGGCTGGTTCCACAGTCACGGCTGCCACGGCGACCAACGGTACACCGCTGACGCCCGACACGTCACCTGATGAGCGCGAGGCGTTTTACGGCGCCAAGGGCGCACAGGCTGCTGCGGACAAGACACGCATCTCGTCGATCCTGGGCATCGATGCCAACCCGCGCAGTCCCAAGGAGCGCGAGATGGTGCGACGACTCGAGGAGGAGCGCGTAATTGTGCCGCCGGTGGCGTAACGGTTTATTGTGCTTGGTGTGTATTGAGAGTGGTCGTAGGTCTCTACGATGTCTGTTTCCCAAGGTCTGCTTTCTAGGATCTGGCGTTTGCGGTCAGCATGTTGCTTGATGTTTCTTTGTTTTGTTTCGCCAGTGAGCTTGATTTGCTTTAGTCTATTTTCTTCGTCTGTTCGTCTCCTCGTCTCCTCGTCTCTTCTTCTCTTCTTCTCTTCTTCTCTTCTTCTCTTCTTCTCTTTTTCTCTTCTTCTCTTTTTCGTTTTCTTCTTCTTCGCTTTTTCGATTGCAACAACCCCCCGCCCCCCTAAACGTTTTTTTTATCTTTTCATTTCTCTTCTCTTTTGTCCCTTTCCATTTTCTCTTTTTTGTTTTGTCTTTGCTGGAGCACGAGTGATGACCTGAAGATTCCATGACTGCGCGCGACTCCTCTGGCGAGCAACTTGCCCCATTGCCGCCTTTCTTCGTCTTTATTCCCTTCACGTTGCGCTTTAACTCTCTCCGCATGTCTGCATACTCCACCATTTGTTTCTTCCCGTTTCTCCTCTTTGGCGGTCGGCGCCTTGTAACATTATCTCAAGCGACGGCGACGGTGGTTTTGATGCGACGGTACCGGTGTGGTTGCGATGATGGTGACGATGATGGAGAAGATGATGACCTTGGTAGATTAAAAATCCAGCAATTTCTTACCTAGATCGTGTATTCAACGATGCACGTCGTATTCTGTATCTGTCCGCAATGTTGTGATGTGCCCGTTATAAGTTGTATGACGTCGAAGAGATCGATTGCCAGCCTCCACGCAGCCTTACCCCAGACCAGGCACCATATACCACTTAGTAGTCAGTGCGGGATGACTTGCGTGGAGACCGCGTTGGAGATTGAGTGGGAGGCAGAACAGAGTGGGAGCAGAATGCGCAAGGGAGTTTGTTTGCTTCTTGCGTGGGGACGCGTGGAGGCGGCGTGGGATGGATTTCTTTCTGGGCGTGGGATGCCGTTTTTGCCTTCCCAATCCAGGCACCAAAAGCAGCAGGGTACGGAATGCAGGCAGACATAGTTGTCCAATTGGGAACCAGCAACTCTCAGCCTTGTTTACAATCTGCCCCTGCTTGTCGCTTTTCATAGCCTCATCTCGACGTTGACAACACGCAGTCACTCTATGCCGGCTTTTCTTTGCTCCTGCGTGGTCTTTGCTGGTGCGTCGGCCCGAGCACTGACCAGCGTCGGTACTGCTCCACTGGAAATGCGAGCCAGCAGTAAATCCATTGCGCCGACCCTCGGCCAGTCGTTCTTTCGTATGCCGTCCGGCCCTTCCTGGTTTGCTTGTGTCCCTGTGACTCGCGCCTCGCACTTGCCTCCGCTTCTTTTACTTCTCCGCCTGCTAAGTTCTCGGCCTAGTCCCCCTTCTCTTCCGCCTTTTTTCTTCTCCTTCCTACATCCCTCTCTCGGACCCCTCACCGCATCATAGATACTTGGCAGCTGTCGCCAAAATCACCATTTCCAAGCAGCGACTAGTTACTGGCCCTAGCTCACCTCCCTGGCCTAGCTGCCATGGCTCATGGCTCGGGCTCCTTCCACAGGGCCGCATGGTTCCGATACTGAATGAGGCAAGCGTGGGCTGGTCTGGAGACTGAAATCTGGACCAAAAAAAATAAGAAGAGAAGTGAAAAGGAAGAAAGTTTACCTGGCAGCGATCTCCTTGTCGCCGTCTTGTCCCCGCCTGCGACCGTTGTGAGCCTGCTATTCCCACACCCTGCCGCCGTCACCGACTTTCTCGAGCTTCCGATTCGCTCTCCGTGATGCCCGGATGAGGAGTTGTTCTGTGGCTTTGCCTACTCACTCCTCATTTTCGGGCTTCCTTTGCTCCTCGTTTTCTCTTCTCCTCCTCTGTCTATTATTCTCCGCTACTACTTGTGATTGGCACTCCTTACCACATCTCTGGTGTTTCTTTTTGTTTTGTTTTTCGTTTTCGTTCTTCTTCACCATCTTTCCTTTTCTCGCTTTGGTTCTTTAGTGCCTTTCCACCAAATCCTTTTTCCGACCTGCAGCAAACGACGTAGCCAGGTGGAGACTGACCCGATACAAAGGAAGGAAAGGGGCGGAACGTATTATTAAGAAAACAATTGGAGGGAAAGGCACACAAAAGACACGAACTCGATAAGCAAGAGATACCATACCGAAATAAAAGAAAACACCTCTTGAGGCCCTTAACGGTATCATCCAACCAGACGGCGAGGTCAAGAACATGGTTGGTTTGCATCCGGCGCCCGAAATACAATAACTCTTTGCTTTCGGTACTCCCAAGGCCAATACCACACAATACAACCCACTTCCCTGCAGGCCACTGCCGGTCGGGATTTCTGACCGTTTTAGAGGCCTCGTCCAAGAATCGAACAATAGTCGAAGAGGACGCCATCAGTACTCAATACGACCACGGCCTGCATCGGCCTGCACTGCATTCGCTCGGACAGTACCACGTCCCGTTGTCTTGGGCAGCTGTGCCGACCCACGCCCCGATTCACATTCCGATTCACATCACATCACAGAATATTGGTATAGGGCCGGCTTGACGTCAACTCGACACGAATCTGAGAACAATCTGACAACAATCCGAGAAGAATCTGACTTCAGCCAGACGGCCCAGCACTACTGCCATAACGCAATTTTTGTGCAGAGCAGCAAACTATTCACCCTTCTTATTCATCTCCTTGTCCCCTCCACAGACCTTTTAACTCTCTTCCTTTCCCCCCCTTGTTTTCTCTCGTCTCTCTCTCTCCCTCTTTACTCTATTTTCTTTTATTTTCTCTTCCTCCCGCTCATCTCCATACCTCTTATCTTCTTCAAATTTTCACATCTACACTGAAAATTATCGCCGTCACGATCAACAATCTGCTGCTCACAATGGCAGCCAACAACGGCAACGGCTCTTCAGCCGACAAGCTTGTCGACACACCTGCCGACTCGACGACCAGCCGCTTCCCCAAACCTGGCGATTACACTCACTTCAATGCCCTTGCTCCCGGTGGCGCCCTTAACCGCTGGTCTCAGAATCTGACCCGTGGCCATGACCACCCGGGCGCCCAGGCCATGCTCTATGCCGCCGGCGTGCCAAACCGCGACATGATGAAGAATGCACCGCATGTTGGTATCGCGACTGTCTGGTGGGAAGGCAACCCTTGCAAGTGAGTCAACAGTTGAGTTTTGACACGTCAACATCGTCGTCATCTTCTTCTTTTATCACTTACTGACAATCTAGCACCCACCTCCTCGAACTCGGCAAGATCGTCAAAAAAGGTGTCGAGAAGCAGGGCATGCTCGCCTGGCAGTACAACACCGTCGGCGTCTCTGACGGCATCACCATGGGCGGCGAGGGCATGCGTTTCTCTCTGCTGACCCGTGAGATCATTGCCGACAGCATTGAGACCGTCACTTCGGCCCAGCATCACGACGCCAACGTCAGTATCCCTGGCTGCGACAAGAACATGCCAGGCGTCATCATCTCCGCAGCCCGCCATAACCGCCCCTTCATCATGATCTACGGCGGCACCATCCTCAAGGGCCACTCGTCCTTGCTTGACAAAGAAATCAACATTAGCACCTGCTATGAGGCTGCCGGCGCCTACAACTATGGCCGGCTGCACGCCGCCCCGGGCTGCAAGGTCAAGCATCCGTCTGCCAACGGCAAAGCCGTCTCGGTGGATCCTACGCCCTCTGATGTCCTCGAGGACATTGAACGCCACGCCTGTCCAGGCGTCGGCGCCTGCGGTGGTATGTATACGGCCAACACCATGGCCACGGCCATCGAGGCCATGGGCCTGTGCCTGCCGGGCAGCTCATCCTTCCCGGCCGTGTCACCTGAGAAGGCCCGCGAGTGCGAAAACGTCGCCGGCGCCATCAAGGTCGTCATGGAGCGTGACATCCGCCCACGCGACCTGCTGACCCGTGCCTCTTTTGAGAATGCCCTGTCCATCACCATGGCCCTCGGCGGCAGCACCAACGGCGTCCTGCACTTCCTGGCGATGGCCAGTGCCGCCGACGTTGCCCTGACCATTGACGACATTGACCGCTCTTCCAACCGCGTGCCCTTCATTGCTGATCTTGCCCCCTCCGGAAAGTACTACATGGAGGATTTGTACAAGATAGGCGGCACACCCTCCGTGCTCAAACTTCTCATTGCCGCTGGCATCGTCGATGGTTCCATCCTCACCGTGACAGGCAAGACCTTGGCCGAGAACTGCGCCGCCTGGCCTTCGCTCGACCCAGGCCAGACTATCATTCGCCCGCTATCCGACCCTATCAAGTCCACCGGTCATATCCGTATTCTGCGCGGCAACCTTGCTCCTGGTGGCGCTGTCGCCAAGATCACTGGCAAGGAGGGCCTGCGCTTTACCGGCACAGCTCGCGTCTTTGACAAAGAGCACGAACTGAACATTGCACTAGCCCAGGGCCGCATTCGCGCCGACATGGGTAACCTGGTCGTCATTGTCCGTTACGAGGGCCCCCGCGGCGGGCCCGGTATGCCTGAGCAGCTCAGCGCCAGTGCCGCCATCATTGGTGCCGGACTAACCAATGTTGCTCTCGTCACCGATGGCCGCTACAGTGGCGCCTCCCACGGCTTCATTGTTGGCCACGTCGTCCCCGAAGCCGCCACTGGTGGCCCTATTGGCCTGGTCCGCAACGGCGACCTGGTGCGCATTGATGCCGTCAGGAACCGCATCGACGTCGTCGCCACCGTCGACGTCCGCGAGGAGCGCGGCTCGCTCGCCTCGGTCGGCAACACCGACGACAACAACGAGGAGGACGAAGACCCCGAGGCTGTCCTTAAGACCCTGCGCGCCCGCCGTGCTCAGTGGACGCCTAAGCCACTAATCCCTGCCCGTGGCGTGTTGGCCAAGTACGCCCGTTTGGTTAGCGATGCGAGCCACGGTGCCGTCACCGACCTGGCTCCCAGCAACAGCCTCTCGGACTGGTAAATGTTGCCAGCATCGGTGGCCATCATGATTGCAATG